TAAGGGCCCTATCAAGCTACAACATACCGACCCGAACGCCCACCACGCCCGCCCGCCCACAAATGGACGACCGTTCCTGACGCTCGTATTCATTCATTTGCTAAGCAAATTATGAAGCGAAGGGATTGGTATGAAGCTGCATGGATATATGGAGTACACATATGCAGCCGTATCTTCGGTAGCGGTGATTGGCAAGATGCCTACGGGAAACTCGTCCGAAATCGATTTTCAAGTCACTGAGAACGGAGGCTTCTTCGCAGGATTTTGACCGTTTCACTCCGTTCTTTCGCCATTTTCCCCACTATATAGCGCCCTGCTTTTAAGCCGAGTATCAAATTATCGTGCCAACTGCCTTCAAGGTTTAGTTCATTAAGGTAGAGTGTTCTTAGAAATCAGGGCGAAAATCATGATTTCAAAGGCAAATGATCTAGAACTAGGAAAACCAGCTACCAGTTACATTCGAAAGGTCATCACAAATGTTGGAAAATGAGTGGCAGATCAAATGCGTTTAGAAACGAAGACAAATCACTGTTTACATTGCTTCGTTGCTCAGGTTTCTTAAGATGGGACCGCGCTGCCATCCGACGTGAATGAGGGGGTGGGTATTTTGCACACTAGCTCTTCTACTAGTTCTTGTTGATTACACGTCACACCTTGCTGAGACATGCAGCATCTTGTCAAGTGTTAACGAAGCTCATGCAACTGCATAGCTCTACAGGAGTTTACAGGGCTCCATAGCGAGGCATCGGTATTGATCGCTGGGGACCATAGTAATCCCCCACCAAGCCAAACTGCGCCTGAATCAATTCAGTTGACCAATGCTCGGTCAGCTTATCGTAGTCAAGGACCTAAGCAAGGTTCACCATACTTAACTTGTAGTCTACCCGGTTATGGGCCGTGGCAAAATCAGAAGATATAGAAGACATCAAGGAGGGGATCTAATAGACTGGGATCAACATAACAAGCTCCGAAAAAAGATTGAGAGAAAATTGAAAAAGTTCCACAGTCAAAAAAGGAAACTCTACTCTGAGAATAGGAATGCCCTTCACAAGTTACCCAGTTCAAGGCTGAGAAAAAATAAAAGCCTAGAAGTTAATCTGAGAGAGGATAGTAGCATCTGGTCTAAAGACAATGGTGAAGTGGGGAGCTTTCAGCAAACGTCTTTGCTCAAACGTATCAGAACAAAGATGATTTTGATAAACTGGCGATGACCCCATCGTTTTCTATGCTGGATGGTTCGCTATTGTTTTACAGTGATGAAATACGCAGGTTGCTGAGTGAGCGGCCGAACTCCATTCGGATACACCCGATTACATCCCACGTCATTAAGAAAGAAATAAGGATATCAAATCAATTCCAACTTCTCTTACAAAAATGTTGGCATTGTACGTTAATTTTCTTATTCGCTGCTTTTGCCGCGAGATTGTTCGGTGGAAAGCTTCATCCAGTCAACG